CCACCCTAAACTTATCCCCAGAGATAACCAGTAAACATATCTGAGTATATCTTTCCAGATATAAAAACACCTCTTTCTCTGTTTCTCTCTCTTTTTCACTCCATATTACATCTGTTAGTATACCCTGTTGGATTTCTTTTACTATATCACTGTCCTCCCAGGTTCTGGCAGCCATTCACATCTATACATTTTTTTCAGGAAGCAGATTTCCCAAACAGTATGTCAGGACAAACAAGAGTATCGTAAAGATGTCAAAGATTGTGATGGGAGCTTCCTCTGATGCCACAGTTCTCACCATAGGGTCTGCCATGGGGCAGTCAAGTGAACCTGGGCCTTCCTCCTCTGTCTTAAGGCCCATCTATCTCAGCATCTAAAATGTCTGTGGAGTAAACATGTTTTAATTCTTATTAGGGGAACACAATAATCTTTCTTAAGTGGTAATGACTGCCCTCTAATGGGCAATAATGATTTATAATAATATAATTATAAAAAGTAAGCAGTGTACTCCCAAAGAAAGTCTTTTGAATAATGTAAAGAAAGCACCTCCTAGCCTGCCAACTCTAATTCAACCCTCCCCATTCCAATTTGTAAAAAGTGAAAGGCTTTATAATCTGTCAGACAGATCTGGTTTAAAATTTCCTTACTGGTAGCACTTTCTATGTGTTATTTAACCTCTATTGAGTCTCAGTTTCCTCATTCTTTAAGGGAACTTTCAGTTATGCACCTTGAGGGTATTTGTGCGGATTAAAGGGAAAAACATCTGTGAAGTAATCGACCATAGAAGAGAAGATCAATAAATGTGAGTCCCCTTTTCTTTTTCAAAATAGAACTGAAGGTAAGAATTTAAACACGTTTTTTCCCCCTCCAATTAAATATTCCAGAAAGAGCTTAAGTACTAAAATGAAGACTGAAAAAAATATTTAGAAGAGGAATACAATTCAACTTTTATGATATCCCTTTCTTTCATTTCTGTTTTGTTGATAATGATCACATGGTGGAATCTAGCAGTGTACCAAAATGGCTCACTTATCCATGGTTCCAAAATGAGTTGTGAGCTGGGCAGAGGGATTCTTTGTAGGCTGTGAGTTCCATTAGTCAAACAAATTCAAAATTCCCCATGCATACTCACCCGATCCACTGTGAACTGCCTCTTTTAGAATTTTTAGTTCACTGTTGAACTCAGCAATGAGTGAGCTCTTACACAAAGGGCGTGGTATGAAGCGCCGCTCCAGCTGGTCAGCAATGTGTTGCCGGGCAGAAAGCTCTTCATGATTCTCTGCTGGTTGGGCCAGAAGCTGAAACGAAGGCATGACATTCTCAGGGCCTCAATTTTCCAGCTGTAAAATGGGCTAATTATTTTATGGACTTCATAGTTGTGAGGAGTAAATAAGGTAGTGCGTGTGAAGTTCTTAGAACAGTACTACATACAGGAAGTGCTTAACAAATACATTGTTTTGAATCACTGCCCCAAGAAATCAGGGTATGAAAAGAGCAAAAGAGATGAGTACTGAGGGTCTTAGAGGAAAAACACGCTTTAAGTGTCCCATCTTTTTCATATGTTTATTTAGAAATTGGATCTCAGTCATGCCACCGAAGATGGGAGAACATTCTCCAGACCATTCCATAGAGCCAGTCTTTCTACGGGTGGGAGGGGTGGGGGGTGACTGGTGTGAAGGTACTTCTAACATGAAATTTTATCCTCTGAGATATATTTTTGGGGCTGTTTCTCATCAAGCATGGTATTAACAGGCCCCACTAACTGGTTACGGCACGTTCCACGAGCACTCTTGTCATAACCCTGCCTCCATGGAGAGCGGTACATTCACGGGGGCTTGGCACTTCCAGGAAGGGAAGCACACACCCCACCTTGCACTGGATGAAAGGGCGCAGGAGCACAAAGATGGGTATTCGGGTCCGCACGATGAAGTCGAGGAAGTCCCACAGGGCCAGGCCTCCCACCTTCCGCAGAGCCATCTCCTTCACCTGGAGGCTCAGCCAGTACCACTGGCTTCCAAGCTGCCTCTCAAAGCAGACGAGGATCACCTTCAGCGCTTCACACCAAAAAAGAGAAAAGTGAGCCTGCAGACTTGTGCCTCGGAGGAACCCGACCCACATCCACAGTCCTTTATGCACTAGGAAATTCTCTAAATTTCTAAACGCTCTCCATGTTTCCAAAAACTTAATGTGTATTCTTGAGCAAGAGTGTTCTGGACATCAATACAAAAATTTGCATGGCGAGCATTTCGATTCTAATTAGGAGAACACAAATATCTTTCTTAAGTGCATTAAACTGCTATTTTAGAAAATATAGAGTAATGTGGCCCACAGAACTGAAAGGGAAATGTTTTATAAACATGATGTGTGGCTAATGTTTTACTTTCCAAAAGTTTTGTCATAGTGGCTTGAAGGTAATACCAGCATATCACTCACATCCTCAGCTAAAACATAGATTTTTAAAATCTTTTCCTTTGATAATACATAGAAATAAATTTGATTCGTATAGGTTTA